ATAAGTTACACCGCCATTTTGTGAAGAATAATCACAATTTTGTCACCGACAAAGCGACTGATTATGTAAACGTGGCTAGTTACAAACGTGGCGTGTGTATGCTTGTACATATCTTCGTTTCAGTGTCTAAGTTACATTAATGTTGAGGAGTGTCCACAAACTCTTATGTCCAGAATTGGTGGTGCTTTACTATCGTTTAACGTTATACTTATGTTAATGTAGAATTATTAACATACCATGTTGTATAAATCGACGTTTTAAGTTATACTTTGTTCTTTAATGTAATAATTTGTCTCATCTGTTCTGAAACTGGTACCTTGAGCTATTTTACCTATTTTATTAGTATCTCAAAATAAGTAAATAGTTATTGCTTTATCTTATTGCTTTCCAGAAGTTTTTGAAGTTTCCAATTGTCTTTCAGGACAAGATTGAACAACAGAATGCAGCCTAACAGCATCAGGGCAACGAAGGCATGTCATATGAAAGCATGGCTCAGTTACAAGATGTAAGTATCTCTCATTATCTATACCATGGTTTTAATGGCTTACATACTATTTTAAATTTGTAGGTTTTTACTTACAAACAACAATAAATGTACACCCACATGTTTAAAATTATTTTCTAGGTTTTCATCGAAAGATGAGAGATCAACTGAAGAATGCTATGGACCTGACTCTAAGGTACTCTTTCTAAACTTTCTCCACTTGATTAATATTATTAAATTCTAGCTTTGGATGGATTCATTCAAATTTGTTTGTATGCCACATCTTATGTTCCAGGAATTGATTTTACAGCAGCACTTCTCATTTTGCCAGCCTTGTTAAGCGAGACACTTCAACATTTCGTTGTGCTCCGGTGCGTATGTTGTTTTCTGTTCAGTATATGCTGTGATAAATGCATTTTATAATGCTTGATATTCTTTATATTAGGATGACGCAGTGGGTAGTGCTGTCACCTTACAGCAAGAAGGTCGCTGGTTCGAGCCTCGGCTGGGTCAGTTGGCATTTGTGTGAGGAGTTTGCATATTCTTCCAGTGTTCGTGAAGGTTTCCTCCAAGTGCTCCGGTTTCCCCACAAGTATAAAGACATGCGCTATAGCTGAATTTGGTAAGCTTATTTGTCTGTAGTGTATAAATGTGTGTGTGAATGAGTGTGTCTGGATGTTTCGTAATACTGGGTTGCAGCTAGAAGGGCATCTGCTGCATAAAACATATGCTGGATAAGTTGGTGGTTCATTCCACTGTGGCGACCCCAGATTAATAAAGGGACTAAGCCGAAAAGAAATTGAATGAATGAATGAAATTTATATTAGTCTTTTAATCTGTGATACTTTTTTTTTTTTTTTTAATCAGTGAATATTAATTATTTTACTTTCTATGCATTTTGATTTTCTCTTCATCAGTTATAGAGTGAGTGATATTAATGTAATTATTGCTTTGTCATTTACAGTGAACCATCTTCACATCCAACAGTTCAAGTACAGGAGGAGGCCACCGACTGGACAACTGTGTTAACAAGATGAGTCACGGCAGTCTTCAGAGTTGATGGGATTGCGATTGGCTGGGCTAATGATGTGGACGAATATACATTTTTGACATATCCATCTTATTAGAAGAACACCTTGATGTTTCTGCAGTGGAATGTTTTGAATGAACGGTGGACGGTGACGAGCCTCGATCTACTCCAGTTACCAGAGTGATCAACCTTGTTTTTTGTTTCTCTACATGCTCTTGGGATAATCACAATCATCAAGTTAATTCAGCACACTGCTCTCATTCATGCATAAAGCAAATTTTTAAATAACTTGTTGTCCTAATGACTATCAAAGAACATTTTCCAGATATGAGTGCTTTACATGTCATGTTTACCAAAAGCATAAACACATATTGTGTTACAACAAATTACAACTCCACTTGAGGATGATGAGGAGTAATCTACTGATGTTGAGGAAGAGGCTACTGATGTATTTGATTGTCTGCGCTGTTGAAGCAATTTATAGAGAAACATTGCCTTCATTCTGAAATACAGAGAAAATTTTGATGACAAATTATTTATTATGACCGAGTATTCTGACTAAAGACAAATACTTTGGACTTTATAAAGTGCAGATGATGTAGCCTGTGTAACGTGTTTATAAATTTTAAACAGTATTCTTGTGGTCTTTGTATTAAGTGTAGATTATTTAGTTTTTATTCGTTATCTAAATTGTTCTTTTTACTGTTTTACATGTCTGCTTTATACTTGCTGTGTAATTTTATTTCTTAACACATTCAGTTGTGATTTGTAATGAAATATTTCTACATTAATAAATAAAAATGGACATCTGTGAACCAAAATATTTTATTTATTTATTTGTGCATGCAGTCACCAAAAGATCAAAATGCCTGGGTCAGTACCCTGAAAATACTATATAATATAAAAAGGTAAATTTTTGTACCTTCAGTGTCTAGGGTACAAAATTGTCCCTTAAAGGGTACAAATGTAGAAGGTACAATTTTGTACCTTTAAATAGAGGTACAAATTTGTACCCTTAAGGGTACCACCCCAGTGACGGGCCATTTGTACCCTAAAAGGTACAATTTTGTACCTTTTTTTCTGAGAGTGCAGGGAGAACATGCAAACTCCACACAGAAATGCCAACTGAGCCGAGGTTCGAACCAGCGACCTTCTTGCTGTGAGGCAACAGCACTACCTACTGCGCCACTGCCTCACCCCTACAACATACACAGGTCTGTAAATCATTCATGAAATTTTTCATTTTAGAAGACATTTTTAGGAAATGTATTTTTTTTAATAAAATAAGCTAGACAGATTTTGACAACTAGGGTGGCACAGTAGGTAGTGCTGTCATCTCACAGCAGGAAGAAAAAAAAACTCACAGCATGAAGGTCATTGGTTTGAGCCTCAGTTGGGTCAGTTGGCATTTCTGTGTTTTCTGAGTTTGCAAGCTCTCCCCGCTCTGTTTTCCCCAACAAGTCCAAAGACATGCGATACAGGTGAATTGGTTAAGCTAAAAAAGTTGTCTGTAGTGTATGTGTGTGAATGAGCAACACAATCTCACGGCAATTCGTAACTTTTTGATTTAGTGACTAATTTGTATGAATTTGTACGTTCTAATTCGTTTAATTAATTCTAATTCGTCAATTTAGTACGATTTGCTCATCCCCCAATGACAGTTGGGTTTAGGGGTGGGGTTGGGTGCCACACCTTCTTTTTAAAATCATACAATTACGTATTACTGAACTTGTACAATTTCGTACAAATTAGCAACTAATCTGGCAAAACATACTTACGTTTTCTCGTGAGATCAGGCTGGAATGAGAATGCATTTGTGTTTACCAGTAATTGGACTAAGCCTAAAAGAAAATAAATGAATTTTGACAACTAGTTCAAGATTTTTGTATGTAATAATAAAATGAGGACTATTAGTTTTAAATGACATGACATGAGCGAATTTTAATGTTTTAAAATAGTTGATTGAAAGTAGTTGATGCATATCCAAAAGCATTTGCAATTTGTTGGAAGGAATGTGAAACTGCTACTATGATGTGCACAAATGACCAATTGTTTTGAGAAATGCATTAACTGTCGTGCAAATGTAAATAGTGTTGTAAAAAATACACCAAAGCCACTTAGAAAAACTGTAAATGTCTGAATGATGTTTCTTTCTTCTTTTGACTAATCTCAACATCTTTTTGATGTTCTTATTATTAAAAACCGAAAGAGACAAATACACTATTTTAAATAGTTTGATGTTACAAAGTACAAATACTCTAGTAATATATACGTAGTTAAGTATTTTATCATTTTAACTGTTATCTGATGGAAAAAGTACAAAAGATCATACTGTTTAATGTATTTACATTTTAAAATATTAAGATGGGCATGTCACGGTGGTGCAGTGGGTAGCACGATCGCCTCACATCAAGGTTGCTGGTTCGAGCATCGGCTTGGTCATTTGGCATTTCTGTGTGGAGTTTGCTTTTTTGTAGGTTCCTCCAGTTGCTCTGATTTCCCCCACAGTCAAAAGACATGCCACATAGGTGAATTGAATAAGCTAAATTGTCTGTAGTGTATGTGTGTTAATAAAGGTGTTTGTGTGTTTCCCAGTGTTGGGTTGCAGCTGGAAGGGCATCTGCTGCATAAAACATATGCTGGATAAGTTGGCGGTTCATTCCGCTGTGGCAACCCCTGATTAATAAAGAGACTAATCCAAAAAGAAAATTAAAGAATGAAAGAGTACTAAGATGGTGTTTTATACCCAATCCTTTTCAAAATACCCTTTAAAATAAATAGATTAATTTCCCTAAACACTTGATATAACTTAATTAGATTATTGTCAGGCCACAAACATTGTTGGGCCTATAACAAAATCTTACTTAGCTTAAAAAACATTTATTTTGTCTTATTACACCGCTGGGCAGGCGACACAGTGGCGTAGTAGGTGTCGCTTCACAGCAAGAAGGTCACTGGTTCGAGCTCTGGGTGGGTCAGTTGGCATTTCAGTGTGGAGTTTGCATGTTCTCCCTGCGTTCGCGTAGGTTTCCTCTGGGTGCTCCATTTTCCCCCACAGTCCAAAAACATGCGGTACAGGTGAATTGGGTAGGCTAAATTGTCCGTAGTGTGTGAAGAGTTTATATGGATGTTCTCAAAGATTGCAGCTGGAAGGGCATCTGCTGCATAAAACATGTGCTGAATTAGTTGGCGGTTCATTCCGCTGCGGTGACCCCATATTAATAAAGGGACTAAGCTGAAAAGAAAATGAATGAATGAATGAATAAATTACACCACTGGGCTGAGTTGTTAGGTTCTTTATCTAAATATTTAAAGTACTACAATCGTGTAAATTTAGTATGCAAAATAATAATAAATTATTATTATTATTATTATTATTATTATTATTATTAGCAATTGGTAGGACTTTTACAATCACTTATGTCTGCTTTGACTTTTATTTTGAAAAATGCTCGTTACAGGACACTTATTTTGAATCTCACATTTGTTGTTGCTAATTTTCCACGCCGAGCCACTGCACAGGAAAAATGTCTCGAGTTTATGTGGGAAAATTGAGCTACCGCGCCAGAGAGAAAGATGTAGAACGTTTTTTTAAAGGTTATGGGAAGATTCTGGAAGTAGATCTGAAAAATGGGTACGTAATTTTGTATGTATAACGGTCAAATGAAACGTGCGGCTGAAACAGCAATGGAGTCTTTACAACGCTAACGTTAAAGCTGTCTGTTCTACTGTTCCAATTAAATTACAAATATACAACTATATTTTATGTATTAAATAACATTTATGACGATTGACTGCGCGTAGTAGTGTACTTAAAAAATATTTGCGTTTATTCCATTGTGTTATTATTTTTTTTTGTATTAGCTATTTTAGCCCAGCAGGCTAACGTTAACCCCCATTGTTTCCGGGCTGGCCTCAACTGAGCTTTTTGCCACGTTATATCTAGTCGATGTTTAATTTATCCGATTGCCTCGTAAAAGTGCTTCACATATATCTACAAATTAAATTATAAGCATTTTAATTTAAAACTGAAATTAAAATTCGTTAAAAACATCAACATTGATTATCAGTCGTAACGTTGTTTGATAGTGTTATTCGACGGTAATGTTAAGTTATGTTTTTCAGCATGCAGTCTCAAGTCATATTAGTTATAATTGTTTACAAAGAAATTTTAGTTTTAATGTGCACCTTTTTTTTGGAAATAAAATGAATAGAAATTAAGAAATCGCATTTGGTACATTTTATTAATTACCCTTTCCATTATCTGTGCCTTTACAACAGCATCCTTGGTTTAACTGATTGTTGAGGTTAAAGCATAGAAAGTGCAAAGTAAAGCATGAGCTACTACAATCATTATTTTATAAGTAACCATGATCTAACTATTATTTTTCTTGTCAAACCTTTCAAAAAGTAGTAAATATACAGGTAAGTTAATTGTTTGATGTTAGTCCTCCTATTATGATGGTAGCTCAGCGTTTTTTTTAAACGGTTGTTGGCACCAAAATATAACTTACTATAATGTCTATAGAAGCAAAATGGTTTATTTAAAAAAAAAAACAGGCATAGTTTTTTTATTAAAAAATGTATGATATTAACCAATATTACTTTTTATTGTTTTTTACATTAGACTTTATAGAGCAGGGCTGCCCAAACTTGGTCCTGGGTGGTCTGTGTCCTGCAAAGTTTAGTTCCAACCCCAATCAAACCCATCTGGGCTAGTTAATCAAGCTTTTACTAGGCTTTCTACATCCATACGGGTGTGTTGAGGCAAGTTGGAGCTAAAATCTGGAGGACACCGGCCTTCCAGGACTGAGTTTGCCTGCGACTGCCAAAATAACAATGCCAGTGACTCGCGACCCCCACATTCCTGAGGTGGTTATAAATATACAAATGTCGCGCACAGGTCTATATAATAAAAATACACAAAAAAGTGCAACAGTCTAACAACCATATTATTTTAATAGTCATTTATTAGTTTGTTGATTTCAATTTTAACCTCATCTTATGAGACTGGTAGGCACAATGTTTTCAGTTTATTCTTGGTTTAGTTTTAAAGACCACCACTCAGAGATTATTCTTTACCAGTTGTGCCCTGTTTTAATTTCTAATGCATCTGATTGCTGTGAAGGTGTCAAAAAGTTTAACCTAGTGAAACACACAATCCAATGACAAAAAAACCTAATAGCATTTCATTTGCATGTTGTTGCATTTTAATGTAATCATTAACTACTATTTTTTAACTTTTGTGAGTTATGTAAAAAATATGGTAATTTTAATAGTTTATTAATTTATTTGACTTTTGGAAATCACCAAGCGACCCCCTATCAATGTCCCATGACTCCCAGGGGGTCCCGACCCACACTTTGGAAACCACTGTTATAGAGCATGAAGAAAGTAAATCAGGAAATACCTGAATTGAACTAGACTTTGTGCATTTGTTATTGCAAGTCACATATGCTCAAAGCCCATAAATCCCATATGTTCATCCCTTTAGATATGGCTTTGTGGAGTTTGATGACCCCCGTGATGCAGATGATGCAGTGTATGATCTGAATGGCAAAGACCTTTGTGGGAAGAGAGTGATAGTGGAGCACACCATAGGACAGCGCCGAGATGGTGGCAACAGATCTGGAAGAAGTAATATATTCATTTACTTGCTTATTTCGGGATACTATATATATATCAATCAGTATTTCAGTTTTATATGAGAAATAAATGGTGAATTGTGCCAACATATTTTTTCAGGCTTTTCAGATGGAGAGTTTTGCACACAACATGCTCACTATGATTTTTAATTATTTAAAAAAAAAAAAACTAGTTTCCAGTATTTCTCTGTTGCAATCAGGAGATCACAGTTTGAAAATACACCAATCTTTTCTTCTCTAAAGGCTTATTATGCGGTCTGTCAATACCAACCATCTTTGCTCTGCTCAATAACATAGCGAGTCGGCATCCATCAGCCTATCTCAGAAATTCTAAATATTTAAAAGGTTCATTTACCCATAAATTAATATTTCGTTACCTAATGTTTACTCAAGTCGTTTCAAACATTTATAAACTTATATCTTTACAATAATAAAATCATCATTTATTCACCCTCCATCTGTTCCAAACATTTTAAGCTACTTCTCCAAAAGTTACTGGAAAGATTAAGTTTTAAAGAATGCTGAAAGCCAGTAGCTATTGACATCCAAAGATGGAAGTACTATAGAAGACAATGGCTACGAGTTTCCAACATTCCTCAAAATATCATCTTTTGTGTTCAACAGAGGACAGAAACTCAAGCATGTTTGGAACATGTGGAGGGTGAATAAATGATGACCGAATTTTCACTGGTTTAAAAACTATTTGCCTTTAGGCATGTAATGTCATAATTGGCAATTGTTTCATTTTTATTATTATTATTTTTTAAATCCAATTTACATTGACTCAGTTGATCTAAAAACAGAGCTTATCAGCATGTGTAAGTGTGTCTAGTCTCTGTCTGTGAAACCTGAAATTAAGTTTGGTAATAGTCTCTGTAACTTGCAATTGCTATTTAACATTTTTAGGGAGCAAAATAATTTGGATGATAATCTTTTGAATGTTATTGAGGGGTAATTCTTCAGTTGGGAGAATCTCTGTCCTGTTTACACCTAGTATTAAGATGCGTTTTTGTTTATCCGATCACATCTGGGCAACAATAAATGCATGTCTACTTCATCTACTTGTGATTTGATCAACCAATACACATCTTAATGCAAGATGTAAACTGTTTACCTGTGTAGGACTGTTCTCATGTCTCCCTAAATGAAGAATCACCCTCAAAATAATGATATATTTTTGCTTTAGTATAGGCAGATTTGTATTGTTGCAATATTGTCAATATTAATATTTTACACTGATTTTTTTAAAAGCTTTAATTCAAAATAATGTCAAAGCTAGAAATTTAACCATCAATGTTTTATTAAAAGAGTCTGACTGCCTGCCCCTTTTGCTGGCCATGGTGTCCCCCTTCCCATGCGTGTGGCCTTTGACCAAACTGGGCCCCTGGGCAGACCATTAAAGCGAGCCAATGTGAATGAGGACCGCTTTTCCCATTAAGCCGGGTGGTGAGAATACCAAAGGGTTTAGGAGATGTGGGTTGAGCTATTTTAGGTGCCTGTAATATGTTTTGGTTTTATTTCTTTTGACATTTTTCCTTTCCCCTGTTAATTAATCTCTCAAATTTTAGTACAGCGTAAGTATGTTGTTTGGTGAAATATTTTGAGTTCTTGAAGAACTAATCTGTCCGTTAAAGGGATAGTTCACCCCAAAATAATTCTGCAATCATTTACTCACCCTATTGTCATTTTGAGACTTTTGGAGAAAAAAAAAAAACATCTCAACAGACATCTCAGCAAATCTCTCTTTTTGTGTTGCACAGATGCCATTCGGGTGAGTAAATGATGACAGGATTTCATGTTTATGTGAACTGTCCCTCTAAGTTATAGGGCAAAATTTAATCTGTAATTAATTGTACGCTAGTATAAGAACATCTGTATTTACCATTTAAAAAACAACAACTTTTCTTTCATTTTTCCTTGTTTATAGTTAAATCATTGTTTTTGAATAAGGCTAGTTTTAAGACTGTTGTCTTTTATCTGTCCTGAACTGTATGCATCTTATTCTCATCACTTTGAAGGTAATCGCTATGGTCGTGGTGGTGGAGGAGGAGGAGGGGACAGGTACGGCCCACCGACACGCACAGATTACAGGCTGATTGTGGAAAATCTCTCTAGTCGATGCAGCTGGCAGGACCTGAAGGTACAAAAACAGACTAAGGGCTGTTCACACAACATTTTCAGTCCAAAACAGGAAACTTTATATGAATTATCTGAAGATTCAAAGAGGAAGTTTTTTTAAGACAGCCACTGTCATGTCCTGAAACCTGAAACAAGTCTTTGAAAAGCTGACGTCATGTACGTAAATAGTACATGTGTGTGGAGGAGTAGATTAAAGGCAGGTGCAAACAAACACAATTACAGAGTATGTGGTAGTGCTGTTGCCCAAGTGTTTTCTAACACTTCATTAGCAAAGTATGGGTTTACTTAACATTGCGTCTTACACACATGAGAATTAGGATTTGAAGGTAATTTTACTATCTTATTACATTTGCAAGCATGTTGTGTTTTTAGTTTGGTACACAATTGAATTATAATTTATTGTCGTATATATGCAGTGGACAAGCAAATGGGGAAAAATCAAGATGGGTCCTGTATACTTCAAACGAAATCTGAAAAAAAAACTGAAATGTTTCAAAATTCTGGGCTAAGTTAGATTTGAGTTAGAAACCGGTTCGAAAAACAGTATAATGTCTCTCAGCCCTTCAACTACTTTTTGGCTTCAAGCAAAGAATGACAATGAACTTCGTTGAAGTACATCAGGGCCTCTAGTTTTTAGGGTGGGACAAAATGCATTATTGTAGTGAGAACCACCTCCCATGTGGACATGAATTTGCCATCTGTCATCAAACACTTGTGCTTGGTGCGAATTCCACTTGTGCTTTTTTAATGCTGCATTTTAACAAACAATCAGACACAAACCCTGAACTCAACACAATCTCACTCTTTTTTGTTTAAGAAATTTGCTAGCAATTGGCTCATTTGTATTTGAGTTTTACAGCAACTACGCATTAATGTGCCAAATGATTTAAATGTGTGACTCGGTTTTCCACTGCTCCTAAAATGTTCACAAGATGAATATAGGCTAAATATAGGTCTAAACAGGGTTTAAGTCATGTTTTGAGCTTGTCCACTTTCTACCGCTTACAGAGAGTCAAAAAGAGAACCAAAGTGTTCATGATACTCATTTGAATGCATGTTATTCCCAAGCTGAAAAAGCATTTCTCCTTTACTCAATGGAAGCAGGCCTTAGTAACCTCCTGGCAACCACTAAAAAGCAAAGTTAACTCTGTCACAATCCAAAATGCATGCTGTGTCCTTCTCTCTTTAAATATATTTTACCTTTCATGGCCTTCTTAATTTTTTTTTTATTAATTTCTATATTATTAACTAAACTGTAAACTGTACTCTCATTTCAGGACTACATGCGTCAGGCTGGTGAGGTGACTTATGCTGACACTAATAAGGGTCGCAAAAATGAAGGGGTGATAGAGTTCAGACAATACTCGGATATGAAAAGAGCCCTGGAGAAGCTTGATGGCACTGAGGTCAATGGAAGAAAGATTCGGCTAATTGAGGACCGGCCTGGTGCCAGACGCCGGCGCTCTTACTCTCGCAGTGCCTCCAGGTGAATTTTTTTTTTACTTAAAATTATCAAGATATTTAACATGTAAATGTTTATCAGGTGACTGAGATTTGTACTTTACAAAATGACCTTTGCTTGAAGTAAAACATTTTTTTTTTCATTTCAATAGAGTTCTCTGGCGAGCATTTTAAAAGTTTTTTTTGTTTCCTGCACTTATCTCTCAGGTCTCGATCCAGGAGCAGGAGGTCTCGCAGAAGCCGAAGCCACAGTCGAACCAGTAGCCGCTCTGGGTAGGCAAACTATACAAGTTTGACAAACTATACAAGTTTGACAGCATAAAGTATATAAAAAAGATAATCAAACACGGAGAGTCCAAAAATACTTATGTATGAGGAGCTACTTCCGCCGTTCCTTCACATCTGCAGCTGACATCTGAACAGCAGAAACCATTACTAATTCACCAACATCATTTTAGAATTTGTATATGAATGATTCTCTAGCGTAATGTCTAAAATGATGACAAAACAGATGATTTTGCTGACATTTTACAATTATAAGGCTGATCGGCAGGGAATGCTATCAGTCTACATAGATTTCTCAGTATTTCTCTGTTGCAATCAGATCACAATAATTAACCACGAAAAATCAAAAGCGATTAACTGATTAAAGCGATAAAAACAGATTACTGCTGTGTTTGTGATAAGAAAAAAACACTAAACACATGCATCTTTTTTTCTTTTTACTGAACTAGTCTGCAGTAACGAAAGCAGGAGATGCTTTAGAAACAAACAGATAGCCAACCAAAAAAGTAACGCCGAGTTATACAAAGAGTGGCCAACACAAAATACATACATTCCTTATATGAGAGTCCTATCTCACACTCAATACCCTACGATTACGGTTATATAAAAACAGCACTACAACATACAAAAGAGAGAGATCTACTTAATGTCACTCATCAATTTTTAGAATTTGATCAGCTGTTAGAAAATACAACAATCTTTTCTCCTCTAAGGGCTTATTATGTGGTCTCTTGTCGCCATCTTGTGGATGGAAAACGTCAACCGTCTTTGCTCGGCTCAATAACATAGGCTGGTGGATGCCATCATGCTATCTCAGAAATTATAAATATTTAAAACAGGCACTGTCCTTATAAATAAACTCCACAGATGCAATCTAAACGACTACATTCTTAACTTAAAAGCCTCAAAAGTACATTGTTGTCCAACAGCTGCAACATTTGTCAAACTGTAGTGACTTTATTGATCTGATGTCACTCTGTAGGTGAAGTATGGTGAAGAGGCTGTAAGAGTTCTGATATGGCAGAATATCACATGGCTATTAGCCAATCAGATTCAGCACCCGGACAGAACTGTTGTATATTATATTATATTATATTATATTATATTATATTATATTATATTATATTATAATATATTATAATATATTATATATATTATATAATATAATATAATATAATGAGTGAATTTGAAGTTGATGACTTAAACTACCCACTGTACAATGTGAAGAGAATTGTATTTAAAATTTATTTATGAATTGTTGACAAGAATATTTAAAGCTATATTACCAATTTAGTATCATCTTTTGCAATTCATTTTGTTGCCATACAAGCAAAGCTGTTGCATAAGGCATTATATGTATTTTAGCTTTGAAGTTTTTATTTTTAGTGTTGCTTATATTTGAGTTAAGGATCATGATTGAGCGAAATGACAGGTAATTATAGATAATTATTCCAATTTAAAAAAATGTTTTAAGGAACAAGCTCAAAAACGCTGAGTAAGGTTCAACTGGCTTTTAAGGGTCTTAATTCAGAGCAAAAAGTTAAATTCAACGTCATGGTATTGTGTTACATGCACTCCGAGAAGATTGGTATATTCCTTAGATTTTTAATACAATGTCTAAAAATCCTTTTAGTTAATATGTTTGATAAAATAGTTTTACTTTATATATTTTTTTTATTCAAAATAGAGGCATTAATACTTAATTTTATTAATGATATGATTTTTTTCATATTTTTATTTTTATTTATGCATGTTTTTGTTACTATATATGATGCTTCATTCATTTTCTTTTTTCGGCTTAGTCCTTTTAATAATATGGGGTTGCCACAGCGGAATGAACTGCCAACTTATCCAGCACATGTTTTATGCAGTGGTTGCCCTTCCAGCTGCAATCCATCACTGGGAAACATCCATACACATTCACACTTACCCTACAAACAATTTTAGCTTTCCAATTCACCCACGCCGCATGTTTTTGGACTTGAGGGGGAAACCAGAGCACCCGGAGGAAACCCATAGGAACATGGAGAGAACATGAAAACTCCACACAGAAATACCAACTGACCCAGCCAGGGCTCAAACCAGCAACCTTTTTGCTGTGAGGCTATTGTGCTACCCACTGAGCCACCGTGCTGCCCACATGTATAATGCTTAGTGCTCATAATTTAAAGTCTTTGTTCTACAAGTTGTGCATTGCAATTCACATTCATTTACTATCTTATGTCTTGTTTATATACTTTGACTATGCTTTGTGGAGCAATTGATATTTTAATGTTTGAGTACACTAGATGGCAATAACTCCTGTAGTAAAATAGAAGTCGTGTTGCTTTGTGCTAATGTATTGATTTGTTGAATTGTTCTGTTTTCTTTCCATTTCAGAGCCTCAGGTTCACGATCACGCAGCAGGTCAACCAGCAAGAAGGCTAAGAGCAGGAGCAGCAGGATGGAGGAGAGCAGTAACGGAGCTCGCAAGGGTGGTGATAGCGGCAGGGATAATAGCTTGAGCCGCAGCCCTCAAAATAAAAAGAGCAAACGTGAGAACAAGCGGGGTCGCTCTGATTCTCGGTCCAGATCTCGATCCAAATCGAGGAACGATAGGGATCTGTCCAGAGAGTCTGGGTCCAAATCTCAGGAGGCGAGCAAGAGTGGTGATGAAGGCAGAGCGGGAACACATCGTTCTAGAGCTCATTCTCGATCCAGATCACAAACACCACCAAATGCAGATCAGCGGAGGGAATCTAGATCCAGGTCTAGGTCCAGATCCAAATCACGCTCACATTCACGCTCACAGTCTTATTCCCGATCTCGATCCCGTTCGAGGTCTCGGTCCTAAATCCATTTCTGAAAGTCTTTCTCACTCAGTATTATTCATCTTGTTTTCCAGTCTAGCTAAACGTCTTTAAAACAAGAATATGTCTTAAATGTTTTTTTTTTTTTACCCCTTTAAATCTTTTTGTCACAATTGTGATAGATGTATGCTTAAAACAAAACACAGTTATCAACTGATAGGGGTAAGAAAATAAATAGAATTCAAGATATATTGTCTGAAAACAAGTCTGAATGTTACATTTGAGAAGCAAAATGGTGTATCTTGTTTTTAGATATTTTGTCCTCGGAAAAAGACAAGAATAGACTGAAAATTATGTTTTGCAGTCAGTGTCTAAATGTTGTTCTGCCCTTCATTTCTTTTTTTGAAGCTACTTTTTTGTAGTTTTGTTTTATCCTTTGTTGTCAAATAGACAAGCTAGTTATTAGGGAAATTGCCTGCTTATTCACAGTTATTATTTTCTGAAATTGTTAACCTTATGTTTTATTTTAGTAGTGTTTTTCTTTGGAAATTGCTTGCATATGTTTTATTCATAAAGACCGAGCCCTCAGTAGGTGTCCTAACCCTTTGCATTGTATACTTTAGACCTGTACCATAATTGTTGTTATGCTGGGGCAGAGTTTATGGTCTTTTTAAATTCAGTTTCTCCATGCAAAACAATAAAAACTGCCTCACAATGCTTGTGTCCATTCTGTTCATTTCCAAGGGTGTTTTGTGATGGCCTTCCTTGTATTGCAAAGTCAAAACCACAACTGATCTTTGGCCATTTTATGAAACAAAAGTTTTTAGTTTTTATTTCAAAACTTTTACTTTATTGGAATTGTATAAATCTCTTTTAGGGTTTAACACTTGCCATTTGAATGCAGACTGAAGTCTTGCAAAAACACAATGTAAAGAAGTTGTCATTTATAAGAATGTGTCGATAACTCCATTTTGATAAAAATGTCGGATAGAACCTTATAATTCTATGGTGACGATTTGTAAATGAAAACAACCTCCTGTTTAAAAAAAACGTGTGCCCCAAAGAGTTGAAGATATAGCTTTGAATAAAAATAATACGTTAGTAACTTGTAATTATTTAAAGTATTTTTTCGTTTAACTTTTTAAGTTTCCATGTAGAAAAAAATCCACAAGATGTCGCCAACATTTAGATAAAAGAAAAGCGTGTCCAGTACTTGCTGGCTACTTTCATCTATGTGCCTGATTTTCCATGATTTCGTTTCTTTTCTTACATTTTACGTTACAACCCGTTTGATGTAGGTAATCACTAATATATTGGGAAGATTTACTCTTCAGAACCCCAAAGGGAGAAAATGTAGCCTGTTGAATGTACGCGTTATGGGTCCTGTCTGAGTGTATTGAAAGCAAACTGAAGTCTGGCCACTCTATCGAGTCAGAAAAAGACACGACGAAGGAGGCGCTCTCCACACTTCACTGAGGGAGAACACGAAATGTGGACACTGGTTAAGGGACACACGGTGACTACTGATGATGGAGAGCCATTTACCTTATCTGCCTTTAGAAAGTCAGTTATTTTAACCCTTCAGTGTCCTCCTTTGGACAGGAAAAGCTATCATGGGAGACGCGCGGCACTTCGCACGCGTCTGGATTGATGGAGAACCGGAAAACTTCGCAGTGGACGAAGAACATCACGAACATGCGTGTCCAGCGCGGTAGAACGATGAAACGAGGACCAAATACACTGTAACAAAGGCAAGTAAAGGCAATGTTTTGTGACTGAGGCGCATTTAACCCATTTCTTCATAGTACCACCAAAGCGGCAATATCAATACAGCAACTGACCTTATTAGAGGTCGATACATTTCAAATGTTACAGATTAAGTCTAATCTTAAGTTTACATGCAATGTTTCCTTCATCATGTATGTCTTTTTGATTCCATGTGATATGCTAAGAGAAGTATCTATTAGAATGAAGGTATTTGAGATTGAGCCCACTGTTTAGACCAAAAAAAAAAAAAAAACACGTCTTAATATCTTTAGACATATTAGCACAAACCGAACAATTTCTGAGTAGCTTCCTAAATATTTCTTTAGTGATAATTGCATACAATGAAATACAAATAACGTTAGATGATTTCTGGTGTGTTTACAGTTTAAAGTGATTTATTTTATTTTATATAAGACATGCACAAATGAATTGGATATTGAAAAAAAGTAAAAGCAGGGGGAAGTTCTCTTTTATTATTATTATTATTATTATTTATTTATTTTTATGATGTACTGTACAAGCAAGTATTCAACAATGTCAGTAATGCCTGAAATATTTTACTGTTCAGACATGATGAATGTACTGTATGTGACTCATGTTAGAATCCACAGGAAGGGTTTTAACAAGAGACGACTTGGGTGCTTAAAAGATTGTCTCTACAAATAATCAAACAATAATTTGAAGCATTCAACAGAGTTTGGATTCAACGATTGATCTACATCTGCTGTTTATATTTTATACTCTTGTATAATTAATCTCACTCATTTGGAAACCAGAGTGAACAGCCATTAAAAGTAAAGCTGAACTTGGTAATGGAAAAAAGCGGTCTGGAATTCATCAGTCAAGTCTTTTGATGAATCAGTCCAAACATATGCTCCTAGATGCATAGTGCTTATACATTGTTTTTCTATGTGGACCTCATTGTCATTATGAAACCTGAAATTTGCAAAGCTGTTTAATGGATACACTGTTGGATAAAGTGCATTATGATGCAGCCTTTGATTAAAAAGAGATTTAATGCATATATATATATATATATATATATATATATATATATATATATATATATATATATATATATATATATATATATATATATATATGTGTGTGTGTGTGTGTGTTTGTGTGTTTGTGTGTGTGTGTGCGTGTGTGTGTGTATACAGTTAAAGTAAGAATTATTTGCCACCTTTTGAATTTGTTTTCTTTTAAAAAATATTTCCCAAATGATGTTTAACAGAGCGAGGAAATTTTCACAGTATGTCTGATAATAATTTTTCATCTGGAGAAAGTCTTATTTGTTTTATTTCGGTTAGAATAAAAGCAGGTTTTAATTTTTTTAAAACCCTTTTAGGGTCAATTATTTTTATTAGCCCCTTTAAGTTAATTGTTTTTTGATAGTCTACAGAACAAACCATTGTTATACAATAACTTGCCTAATTACCCTAACTTGCCTAGTTAACCTAATTAACCTAGTTAAGAAATTTAAATGTCACTTTAAGCTGTATTGAAGTTTCTTGAAAAATATCTAGTCAAATTTTATTTACTGTCATTATGGCAAAGATAAAATAAATCAGTTATTAGAGATGAGTTATTAAAACTATTATGATTAGAAATGAGTTGAACAAATCTCTTCGTTAAACAGAAATTAGTGAAAAAATTAACAGGGGGGCTAATAATTCAGGGGGTCTTAATAATTCTGACTTCAACTGTTTATATATATGTATCTATATAGTTTTGGCAACAAACTTAGAGTTTACATTTGACCATATTGGCCGTATATTGTATCTTTAAATACTGTCATAAAGCCCTACAAGTTCTAGCTGATGTGAGTACTCTACCAGAGCACTGAATGTTTAATTTGTTTAAACTCACAGGAAAGACGAGTCGGCAGAATTGTAAATGTCATTTTCAGAGTTATCGAGAAACTCTTGCCAATGTTTTTTTTATTTTTTTATTTTTATTTTTTATTATTCCATAGTGAATTGGCCACATTTAATTTATGTTTTATGAACTTGTTTTTCCACCACATTCTTCCTCTGCCAAGAGTGCTGGGGAGATTTGAAGTGGTTTTTGCCCTGGTCAGTGCCTATACAATCACCCTTCTTCTAAACAACTGTTATTATAAGTCTTATAATTACTTAAATCAGCTAACAATCTTTAAAATCACGGTGCTTTGTTTTGGAGTCTGGCTGGGCAGTTTATCTGTCAGTCTAGAAATAAGTCATGCCACCAAACTAATGCAACAGTTTATAAACACAGCGTCAACCACGTTCCACTGAAGGATGGTTTGTTTATGCAAATATACTTATTTGTTTAAAAGACTATTTGTGTTGCACCACAAAGAGGCATCAGAATGGCGTTGCCGTATACACACACCTCTGAAAATAATGCTGCAGCATTTTTATGTTGGTCAAAATTGTATCATTTATTTTTCAACTGACCCATGAGAACTCCATCTTGTTCTTTAATTCAGTTCTTTAATTCAGTCTAAAATTTTCATATTTCTCGTTAAAGTGCAAAATACACTAATTCAGACATACAGTCTTTTCTCTATTTAATTATATTTTGGCTCCTCAATCCAGTAGTAGATAATATTGTACGACGAGTTAAACTAGTACATGGGGTAAGCATTTAATTATTTTATTGATACAGTCCAGGATTCAAAATCCTGTCTTGTAAATAACCTGAAACATTCCTGTTATGTTTTACTATATATTAAGTGTTTTTGAAGCCTGTGAAGGAGAAATCACTGCAACTGTTTTCTTAAATTATTTAAACACGCCCCTGTGGATTAAATATTAATAGAAGCCATTTCAACAAACAGTCTAAGACAAAAGTAAAAGCATAACTGTAGCATCATTGTTTCAACCAAACAAGATTTTGTAGCGCAAAGGATTCATGTTGTTTAAGGCTCTGTAAAAAAACATTAGAAGAATAAGCAATTTTCTTAACTTGAATAAATTACTGAATGTACGTGACCACTTGACCTAGCCTTGAACTCACCTTTTCCTCCTCATCTTTTCAGACTCCCATTAGGGGCCATTTATAAACCAGCCTATGCCATGAGAACTCAGAAGTCCCGCGGCCGGACGTCAGCTACACATTCCCGACAACGATTGCCACGTTTCAGTCTTCACTCCAGGAGGAAGAAGGAAGGCGTAATCCAGGGAAAGCTGCGTATCCGTTCCATGCCAGGAGCCTTTTTGGTACTTGGGGTGGTGGTTGTTGTTGTTGGCACTGCACTTGCTGTGGCAGGCTACTGGCCATACAGAGCTCATCGATCATCTTTGGACACGGTAGAGGAAGGATCCTCTGGAACTGCATCAGGATGGGGATTAGGGTCCAAAGGACTGTTTTCTGCAGCAAGTCTGGTTCATAGCGAAAGGATGAAACTACTCGGACCTGTCATTATGGGAGTGGGACTTTTCATACTTATTTGTGCAAATACGGTACTCTATGAGAATCGGGACAGGGAAACTCAAATGCTTTTAGCACAGATGCGGAGCGTCATTTGCTCTGTTTCTGCAGCTGTGCCTTCGGCAGACCTCTTACAGGTGAATTCTCTCGCCAGGCACTATCAATGGGTCAGCAGTTTGCCCGCAGCCCACCTAAACATCCTCTGCTTGCAGGAAATGTCCAGTTCAGAGCCTCTACTCCAAGTGAAGAGCATGGATGAGGAGGACAGCATTCAGCAGCAGGACACAGTGCACACTGAGGTTCTTCATCATCAGGACTCCTCCTCTACCCCCTCTGTTCACTCCTCTAACTCCTGCAACAATAGCAAAGAGGTTTTATGCATGGACGAGCAGAGGACAACCTCTGCACTCGACCTGCGGCAAGAAAGTCACTTTGCACTCAGTAACTGTATGACTGCGTCCTCTATGTCCACACTGGGTGGAGAGGAGTGTGAAATCTTCCCCATCCCGCCCAGACGCTCCTATAGCATGAACCACAGGACTAAACCCCAAATACTGCCAAGGAATCTGGTCCATCCAGAGGACAAGTCTGTGTCTTCCATGGGTCATCATAGACTGCTTCCAAGACAATCCAGCTCAGAGGTGTGCATTAACATGGTTGGAGTAGACATTAAAACCCTTGACCTTATACCTGTGGAAGAGCAGAGGCACCGCAGCTGGCCTCGGCTAGACCTCGGAAGTGCAAGGAAGTATCTGAAGCTCGAGAACAAAGAGGATTCTGTGGAAAAGTTACTGGACCAGCTTGAGCAACAATGCTTACAGATGAACAAAAGCTATGGCTCAGGTCCGTTTCAGTGAGCTGAGGTTTAATCATTACATCAAGGTTAATGGATTGGCAGATCTCACGGGCATAAGGAGTAGCTTGACAAAGTGACATAAACTTGGAATAACCTAGTGGGCAAGTTTCCAATGGATGTTGTTTGCAGTTTCTGGAATCCCTTGAAGCCAACTAATTGCTCATTTCCAAGACCTAGCCATTCATCTCACTTGACTAGTTTTTTAAAAACTAGTTTGTTCTGAGATTAGTGGAGTATGGAAATTTCACTTGAAAGATTATCAACATCTGCAACAAGCTATTACACTCATGCTGTGGAATTTAAACATACGTTCTGAAGGATTTTTTGGGATGGAGGTATTTTACACGTTTGGGAAAGTGCTAGTCTATGATGTCACATTTGACTGGATGGATCTCACAGTTTATGTGTAAAAGGCCAACTGGAGGGATCAGTTTGTTTTTGTTGCTCAAGCTCTACTTGCTACTAGGATACAGTAAGCAGCATTTCTTAATCTGCAAGGTAGAATAAACGAAGACCTCAGCAGTGGCTAGATTCAAAGTAAACACATTTCTGACTTCCGAATTCAGGTCAGCCAAATGTATGGCTCCAGTTTTGATAGTTTTAAGGGCCAAAAATGGACAATGCTGATTATTTGACCAAAAAAAAAAAAAAAGATTCATCAAAGCAGTGTCTACGATTGGATTGTCCATTAGAATTTATTTATATAGTTACAAATTATGGTAAATCAACCTCAGTTGCAATGTGTGTAAAAGTTTATGGCTTCCCTGAGTGTCTGTTATCCTCGTATCTCACCTTACTTCTATCTCTGCCTGGTGGCAGTAAAACAGATGCACTTATTATGAGGGTCCAGTGCTCTTTCGGCTTCATTAACCAAGATGATCAGTGTTTTTGCATGCACTAATGCGGGTACATAACTGCTTTCCCTTTAAAGGGTGGAGCTGGACCAAGCCCCTCCTCTTTGCAGTGAGAATGTGTAATTCACTCTGTTTACAGAAATAAGACAGTCAACCTGTCTCTATTTTGTCTGTGTAGCCTGTTTTGTTATGCTGTGTTACTTGCTGTGTGTTCTCAGTGTATAATGAGCAATATCCACAGTCTGACTGACCAATCAATGATCAGACCCTTTACCACATTTGATCTGAATTTCATGCCTGTGTTGCAAATAAAAGGCAAAACTAAACTAATTTAGCGCAAGTGTTTGTTTGCTGCCAATTATTTTACATTGATGCAAGGCAGCTTCAGGGGGTCAAGGTGTGGCTTGTTAGTTGCGGCATTGACTCCCACTGGCATATGCTGTGACTACCATTATGCAAAAAACGAAAACAGAAAAAAGCATCGTTCTCCTCTGACAAATAATGAAAGGTAAAACTTAAATCACTTTATTTTAGCATTGGCATTTTGCTAGCTATAATATACAGTAATTATTCTTATGTTTTCAGAGGTTTGCCTTACAAAATCATAGGAAAAGAAAACATTCCAGAACAGAGTGCAAAAGGTGTCAGTCTACAGGTTAGAGAATGTCCCATTGACTCCTCCTGAAAATAAAATGGCATTATAATTGTCTTTCATCTGTTTTCATAAGTGATATGTCTTTATTGTCCATATTTTTAACCATCTTCATAGCCACCAGTGGAGTTCAGCTGTGGGTTGTTGTTTTTTTTAAAGACAACAGAAAGCAAGATGTGAACGAGACACTCAAAGGAGATCTGATCTGTATCTTAAATAGTAATATTAATAATTAAAATAATAGATACATTTGACCACCCCTATAATAGTTCATACCATTGTGTATGCATAATCAAGCAGTCTATGGGAGAAAATATTCATTTAGCAGTCTGAAACCAACAGATGTTAAGCACCAATAGACAATGTGAGGGTTCACATGACATATTTCTCGTAAAATAGATGTTTATCTACATATAGCCTAAAAATAAAGTAAAATGACATTTATATTTTAATAGAAACCTGCATGCACATGGAAGTTACTATGATGCAAATCATCTTTTGTAAGCTGTTTGGACAAGACTGTGTATAGTTATAGCGTGTCCATAGTTATATTGGAGTGATAGAAGCACAATAAATACAATCCGTCTATCGGATGAGACGTTAAACCGAGGTCCTGACTCTCTGTGGTCAGTAAAAATCCCATGGCACTTCTCGTAAAGAGTAGGGGTGTAACCCCAGTGTCCTGGCCAAATTCCCTCTTGGACCTTAACCATTATGGCCTCCCATTCCTCTGAATTGGCTCTATCACTGTCTCTCCACTCCCTCTATAGCTGGTGTGTGGTGAGCGCACTGGCGCTGTTGTCCTGTGGCTGCGATCGCATCATCCAAGTGGATGCTACACACTGATGGTGATGTGGAGAGACCTCCCTCATGATTGTGAAGCGCTTTGAGTGTATGGCCATACACAATAAATGCGCTATATAAATACACATTACATTACAATAAGTATCTTTTTTTAAATGTCCTGATGTTAAAATAGGATCCAAATCAATCCCATTTTGAGGCCCACCACAACATAGCGTAGGAGTGGGGTTTGTCCAGCCACCAGATTGATTGACAGCCGCCTATTAACATGTCTCCATAGGAATGCGTATAATCATATTCAAGAGACAGGATGTGTGCAAAGCAACTAAGATTAACTAAGATCAAGTGTACCTCACACTAGGTGCCGAAGCGTGATTGTCCCCCCTCCCCTAAGATCCTGCACTCACATTGCCTTTTGCATTTCAAACCTGAGCACGCTTACGTCAACGATCATCCCCCATCAGAGGTACCTTTAAGAACAGCTTCTGGTTCACACAGACTTTAAATAAGCTACATTAATAAATTAAATGTAATTGAATTAAATATATACATTTAATCTACTGAAGCATATACTACTAACATTACCTAAATGCCCCTCAAATTGTCAATGTATAATTCATACCCTGATTACAACAGAACTTTGACTGCTCAACTCAAATTAGCTGAGTTCATAACTTTAGTGCATTTGTTTTTACAGAAATCTATTCGTCTGACTTGACCTGATTTAGGACAGGGATTTCTGTTGTTTGAAGGTGCAGAGAAGTGTGAGATTTATGTAATGAAGTAGACATCGACCATGCACTTTCCTAAAGATGTGTATGTGTAAGAATTATGGGTGTTTGATGTTTCACTACTCGACCATTTGACCTTAAATACAAGGTCTGGTTCAGTGATGATGGATGAAGGCGGTGCAAAACGGGTTAGCATAAATATATATTTTTTCCAAGGTGCTTGTATTGATATTTTACAGACATTCTTTTTTTTGCTCTACCCAGGTCTAATAATTTAACTCAATTTGAACTTTTTTGTACAGACTACAGACTCCACTATTAAATATATATATAGTGAAAGACTAAATTATTATCACTTTGGTGAAATTGTCTTTTTCTTTTTTTCCAAACATTTCCCAAGTGCTTTTTCACAAAAATAATTTTTAAACACATTTAGATTTTATAACTTATTTCTAATTACTCATTTCTTTTGTTTTTACCACAATGACAGTGGCTAATATTTTACCAGTTATTTTGCAATTAGTGTTGGGCGATGTCGGCCAATTTGGCATCGTACGATTAGCAGGGGTGAGTGCGCACGACGTGTCAGGTTAAAATAATATAAGGTTAAAAACATAAAAAGAAGCAAAAGAACAAAAATAAACACTTAATTAAGTTGTTTATGTTTTAAATAATAATTTTAAAAATGCATTTAAAAAGAACAAACACACATTACTCCAGATATGGCTCGAAACATGTTTGTCAAAAAACAGGCACACACATCAATTCTCAATAGAAAAAAGTTTAAAAAATAATTATAAAAACAAAAAACAAAAATAAAGTCGGCAACACAGAGAATCCAAAGGATCCAATCTTTTAATTATTTAGTTCAAGAAAACAAACGTTTCTATTGTCCTTATGAATTCACAGTTTGAAACACAGCTCTGAAAAATACTTAGCTATCTAACTGATATGAGTGGAATTAAATGGTTTCTATGTGTATAAAATCTGCTTATTTGCCAAAAAGACACATCACACTGTTAGCATCTGTACATTATGGAAATATCCAATGAATTAACATTAAAGTAATGTAAGAAGTTATATGAGGGAAGGCTAACTAGCTAACAATGTTGCCTTCAAGTACACAGTTTAAACCAACATCAATGTAACCTAATACGCAGACTTGCTTTAGAAACCCTCAAAAACATTTGAACACATTTTACTCACTCGTTGTAGATTCTTATTTATGGCTTAAAACATCAGACTCTGCATCTGAACATCTAAGCGGAGAATGGAGGTGTAAGAATGGGTTTTAACCACAGCAGTTCAAAATACTTCCGAATCAATGTTTTTAAGGAGCATGATAAAGTGCAATGTTCAAGGCTGAATCCTGTAAGAAAGCATTTTCATAGTTACTGCAGTTATTACACTGGAGCCACAAGGCAATTCAATACTCCTGTTTGTAGTTTTAACTGCAGGTATATTGAAGATAGCACAGTTTACCACTATTAGGAGATGAGACTCATTCAACATATAAACTCAAGTACCTTAAAATTAATGAATTTTAGCATACAGTTAATTCCTTTTTTATTCTTGACATGCGGTCTAGAATGCATCTTTGGCTTCTTAAACCTCAGACCTGAGTGTCAGACCTAACCATAACCCTAACCTACAGTATGAAAATCATGTTTTAAGGAATTACTCAGTATATTTGTACATGTTGTATCACGAAATACTATTTGGTATATGGAAATGAAAATGTGTATAACACAAATATAACAAATTTGGAAATGCAAACAGGATCAGCAATTATTAACTTTTATTGCTATTAGGCTGCTAAGCCACCATCATAGGAAGTTAGCAGTTGCAGGCCTTGTATTAACAATACAGTTAGTTCACTTGTGTTATGAACAGATGAGTTTTTGTTACGTGAAGACCATTGATTTTTGCTCTTTAGTGATTTTTGTTTTCTCAGATAAAATGGTTGAGGTCTTTCCTGTCCTGATATTCAACATTATTCCTCTCTGTGATCAAACTTTATACAGGTCACACAAAGCATGTTTTGTTTGCCTGAGGGTTGATTGCTGGGATCATCTGAGGTTTGAGGGTTATTAAGACTCGCTAATGCTTCTACACCATTCATCTTTGCTGCCCTACGGTATGGCATCACCTTAATTTACTGAAATGGGTAATGCCGAGTTCAGACTGCATGATTTTCAAAGTAGTCGTGTCACAGATGTTTTCACACTGCATGACTATCTGGGCTAGCGTTTCGTCGCTGCTTTGTTTACACTGCAAGATGGATCGGTGACAGGGGGTTTCACACTGCATGACTTTACTATAGGGAGAATCGCCGACATCGTCGTCCAAACTACGTCTCACTGCCAAAAACACGCATTATATCTTTTGTTATTAACTACATAATGTGAAAGAAGCCTTTAATGGGATAGAACATGTACATATTTGCTCACCTGGGTTTAAAGGGAATTAGCCATTTCTCCTTAACGTTGATAATAAACTAATTTCTTTCTGTATGAAACGTCAAACAGACACGGTTGCTCCTGTGTCCTGTCAAACCTCCACTGGTTTTTCCTCCATTTCGTGGGTCCAAATAAACCGAAAAAGAGCGCTTTTACCTTCTCCCCCAGCCTCCCGCTGGCCTGCAGCAGGTATACACACACACACACACAAGTGAAAGCTGCTCTCTCATTGGCTGTAGGCGATCGCTGATGTTATTTTCAGTCAAAACTCAATTCACACAGCATGATTTGAATCGCCGACAGCTCCAGATATTTAGCACGCCAAATATCTCGCAGGCATCGGCGACTCATCGGCGATTCTCTCAGATCGCGTCGTTGATAGTTCATACTGTGTGATTGTCACTCACGTGCATGAGCACCGATTTGCCTGTGATTTCAGGCATTTGTCGGCGATTTCTCAAAACCTGTCGGCGAGCCGAAATCGGGGCTAAAATCACGCAGTCTGAACTAGGCATAAACTTATTTGAGCTTCATCTGAGAAGTGAACATGCTTTTCAATCCCACCGCTGTTAAGCATTTTGGCAGACACAAACTACTGTGCTTTTAGCATAGCTTTTAAATCTGCAATGGTGTATTTTTGACTTCTGCATTTTTCAGCCAGAGCTAATTCAATTCAATTCAGCTTTATTTGTATAGCGCTTTTACAATGTAGATTGTGTCAAAGCAGCTTCACATAAATGGTCATAGTAACTGGAACAGTGTAGTTCAGTTTTTAGTGTTTAAGTTCAGTTCAGTTTAGCTCAGTTCAGTGTGATTTAAAATCATTACTGAGAGTTCAAACACTGAAGAGAAAATTCATCGATGCGTAGCTCTACCAATCCTGAACCATGCGAGCCAGTGGCGACAGCGGAGAGGGAAACTAACTGCTAACAGCTAACTGTTTAGCTGGTAAATTATCAAGCTTTGTCTTGAGATCTAGAATTTTTGCCTATGACTTTTCTGCCTCTGATTTGTGAACATCATCAAATTCTTCTCATCTAGCCGTTATAATTGAAGGTATT